CAGATGTTATACATATAGTATATAGATATATAGATGTACATATATAGATAGTATATATATATATATATATATATATATATACATACACACAGATACATAATACATTATGACACATAATCATACATATATATGCATATATACAGGATATATATGTATATATGTATATATATGATGATCTAGATAGAGATATATATAATTAAGACATATAGTATATATACTATACAGATAGATACATATATAGTATACAGATATATACATATAGATATATATATATAAATAGAATCTATAGACACATAGTATAATTAGGACATATATATAGAGTAGATAGATATATAATCCTAGAGTATATATATATATAGTAGATTAGATATATATAGACACACAAACACCACACACATATAGATATAACCATAATAACAGACAGACATAGATAGAAACAAAGACAGACATATATAGAGAGACATATATTAAAACATATAAGACATATATAGATATATATATAAACAGATAGATACATATAAGAGAGAGAGATAAACATAGACGACATGAGAGAAACAAGAGAGATACAGAATTAGAGAGAAACATAGATACATATATATATATAGTTAAACTAGCTAGAGATACAAGATATGTATATATAAAATATATAGACAGATATCTAGATATATAAACATGATATATACATTAGGATATAGATAAGAGAGGAAACAGAGAGAGACCGTACAGAGATATAGAAAAAACCGATAGGAGTACAGAGAGATTGATAGATAATAGATATAAAAGAGATATACATATAAATATATATATAGGTATGATATAGGTATGAGAAGCGATATAGATAGAGATAGAATAGATTATATAGTGAGAGATTACTATAGATAGAGAGATAGAGAGATATATAGGAAGAGAGGATAGACAGATATAAACAGAGATATACAGATAGAGAGCTAGATAAAGCTATGTCGATATATTGAGATAGTAGATATATAGATATATGAGAGACAGAAACAAGAGATACACGATATATATATAGATATATATTATATATCATACTGACTATAAGAAACAGCGAAGAGAAGAGTAGATTATAGCGAGAGATGATGATATAGATATTATATCTAGTAGAGATATAGAAACATGAGAGAGAGAGCTATAGAGATTATAGATAATATATGCATAGAGAGAGAAGACATAAACAGATAGAGACACATAGAGGAGAGAGATAGATATGATAGATATAGAGATATAGATGAAGATATAAAGCAACCAGAGAGAGACAAGAGAGATGAGGATAGAGAGTATAGAGATAGTATAATGATAAGATAGATAGAGATATAGATAAAGAGATATAAATTATCGAGATGAGTAGAAAGATATATAGAGATAACGATAGATATATAGATGAGATAAGATATATAGCATATAGAGAGATAAAAATAGATAAACATAAGACCTATTACAGAGATAGATATATATCTATAGATATATATATATAATAATATATATAGATATATATAACAATATATAAACATATATTAAACAGATATAGATATATATATATAATATATATATGAGAGATATATAGGTATATATATAGACATCGGTATATATACATCATATGGTATATATACATACATATGGGATATAAGATACATAGGAGTATATAGTAGAACAGAGGTATATAGATATACATATGATGAGAGAGACAAGGTCTAGCATGATATACAGAGGTATATATATACTGACATATGTGAGTAGACATAACATATGTAGAGAGATATATACATATGATCACTAGAGTATATCGATTATATAGATATATATAGATATATAAACATAGAACGACTAGAATATATTATATATATAAAAAAAAACCCCAATTTAGAAAAAAAAGTGATTGAAAACCCAATATATAATATGATATATATATATATATATATATATATAATATATATAATATAACATATATATACCTATATATATATATAGATATCTACATATATTATATATATATATGATAATAATATAATATATATATATATATATATAAAGCCCATATATATACATACTAGTAAATATATATGCTATATATATATATATATATTATAGTATTATCTATATATATATATAATATATAAACATATATTACATATATAGATATATAAACATATATATAGATATATATATGTAATATATGCTTATATATATATAATATATGTATAATATATGTGTATATAATATATATATTATATATATATATATGATGTATGTATATGTTTATATATATATATAGTATATAATGTTTAATATATATATATATATATGTATATGTTTATATATAGATATAGTATGTATTATGTTTATATATATATATATGTATATATATGTTTAATATTATATATACTATATATATAATATATATATATATATAGTATTATGTACTAGATATATATAATATATGGAATATTATGTGTAGATATATAGAGAGGATATTATGGTATATATGAGAGATATAGAATATATATATATATGACATAATATATATATAAAAATATATCCATATAGGTTTATAGAGATAGACTAGACATATATAGATATATAGATATATATATTATAATAGATATATGAGATAGATATCGATATATATATATATATCTAGAAAAAGATATATACATGAGTATATATATATATAAACAATATATACATATAGATATATCTATATAAACATGATATATACAGATATAATATATATATATATATTATAGCTATATATATATATATAAACATATATATACAGAGGACATATCATATAAACATATACATGTACAGATAGAATAGAATAAAACATAACCGCACAGAGATAGATAGGATAGAGACGAGATTATAGAATACCCTAACGAGAGATATATATATGAGAGATATAGAGATAAACATAGATATGACAGTAGAGCGAGAAGAAACACGATACAACAGACAGATAGTATAAATAGATAGATATGATATAGAGAGATATATATATAGATATTATATATATATAGTAAAAAAGACTAGACGATATTATATATATAAAAATATACATACAATATATATGATAGAGATATAGATAGATCTATATATATAAATATAGATTTTATATAGAATTAGTAATATATTATCTATGTCATGTATATTATCTATATAGATAATTAGATATATATAGAGAGTAAGTGATATATAGAGCCTATATATAGATATGGAGGATGGAGAGTGTATATAATAGAGATGTATAGTATGGTTGGGTATTGATATATAGAATATATATAGAAATATATATATATAATTAATATATATAGAAACAGAATGAAACATATAGATATAGATAAGATAGATAGATATTAAGATAGATATAAGATCGAAGAGATATATGAGATAAACAGAGATACAGACAATATTATATAATTACTAGATATATATATATGAATATACGAGATATATAAACAGATAATATATAGATATATATATTATATATATATAGAGATATAGAGCAGATATAGAGAGATATATAGAAACATATAGAGACATATAGATATATATATATATATAGATATAGTAGAATATATAGAATATATAGATAGATATAAACAGAGATATACAGATAGAAGAGATAGAAACAGATACGACAGATAGCAGAGATATATAATATAGCGATATAAGAGATAGATATTAGAGAATAGATAAACAGATACAATATAAGATATATATATATATATAGATATATAGATATAGTATAGAGATAGAGAGTATATAAACAATTAGAAAAGATAGATTTCTCTATATGATATATAAGATATACATATATATATCTAGATGTATAATAAGATATATCGATACATATATTATAGAGAGATAGTAGATATATAGTAGATAATATCTATATTAAACAGAGAAATATATAGATATATATAGTATAGATGAGATCGATCTATTATATAGATGATAGATATGATATATAAAAATAGACGAATAGACAGATATATAGATATTGAGATATATATATCTAACATAATATATAGATAATATAGATATATAGATATATAGATAGATATATCTATATAGATGAAAAACATATATAAACATATATAAAACAGAAGATGATAAATATAGTATAGAGATATTATATATATATTATATATATATATATAAACATATATATATATATATAAACATATAATCATATATAGATATAGTATATATACGATATATACAGATATATATAAAACGGATAGACATAGATATATAGATAAAATATAATATACATAATATATATTATAAACATAGATATACATATATAGATATAATATATAAAACATATAATACATAGATAGATAGATATATTAAACCCATAGATTACATATATATAGATATCGAGAGATATATAAACATATATATACATATATAGAATAGTATATTAAACATATAACAGCTATAGTTAAACAGAGATGAGAGACATATAAACATATATATGACATATATATTATATAAACATATATACAGATATAGATATAAACCTATACACAGGATATAGATATAATATAAACAGCTCGACAGATATTAGAATATATAGTATATATAAAACAGAGAGACAGAGAGATAGTTCAGAAACATATAGACAATAGATATAGAAACATAGTCAGAGTAGATTATAAAGAAACATATAGAGACAGATATATATAAAAACAGATAAGACATATATATATGAAACAGAGATCCTACATATAAGAGAGATAGATAAACATAGAGGGACAGATTAGATATAAACAGA